CCTCTGCCGAAAGCATGATCTTCTTTCCTGGACCTGGAATGGTAGACCTGAAGGTTTCGAAGAAACAGGTCCTGGGGCCTCGCGGGCGGCGCGCCCGGCTTCCTCAGCGCCTCAAGCGCCTCCAACAGTGGCGCTCCGGCGTCGTTGACGTGCTCCGAGGTGTTCAGCTCGGTCCTCCTGACGCCGAGGACGTGCCCTGCTGCTGCTGCATCTGCGCCTGCATGTTCATCATCATGGCCGCAATCCTCCCGAGATCCTGGTCCGAGAGGCTCGGCGCGGGCAGCTGCGCGCGCATCTCCCTCTCCTGATTGACGAAACTCTGGACCGTGCCCCACACTCTCTCGTTGGCCTTGGCCTGGGTCTCGATGCAGATCTTCATGTCGGACAGCGCGATCTGCATCTCGGTCGTCGTCATGGGCCGAGCCTCCGAAGGTCCTGGTGGTTTGGCCGTGGCTCCGGCTGCTCGGCTCGCCGCCCTCTGCGCCGAGTAGTCGATCGCCCGGCCTCCTGAGGTGATCATCGTCGGCGCGGCCGCCTCCAGCTGCGCCGGGGAGGGGTGCTTGTAGGGCACCTACCCTTCGCTCACCGGGACGTAAAGGTTCTGGGGAACCGGAGGGATCCCCGCCGCCGACACCTTCGCCGTAGGTCCGCTCCCCTCCTGGATGCGTCGAGCTCGCTGAGGCTCCGGCCCCGGCGTCCACGGATCGGGTGGCAAGATCGGGAAATGGCCGTTCTTGTACGCCTCCACCATCCGAGCTGCCTTCGCCTTGGCATCCGCACGGTTGACCTTGCCCGCCTGCTTGTCGATCTTGCGCTTCTCGGCCTCGAAGATCTCCTCCGACGTCTTGTCCCTCAGGAAGAGGCGCTGGGAGCACTGCCGGCAGTGCTCGTAGGCGCTGGTGGAGTTGCTCCCCGACTTGCGAGCCCACGGCGGGTGAGGACACGAGTCGGCGGGGAAGCTCTCGACGAACGTCTTCGGAAGCGTCTGGCAGAGGTGCTTCATCCGGCCCAGGATGTACGTCATGCTGACCAGGCGCAGGTACCAGTTGCGCCAGCGATACTCGTACTTCCCTAGCTGCATGCGGCCGTCCTGGAAAAGCTCCTTCTCGTTCTCCTGCATCCCCTCGTCCCTCAGGGTGTCCTCGAGAGTCTCTGGAAGCCGCTCCCACTCCTGTCCTGACGACACCTCGCTGTCGCTCTCGATGATGGAGCCCAGCAGCTTGCTGCGCCTCGGAGTCCCCGGCTTGCTGCCGATCCCCGTGGTCTTCAGGACGGGCTTCTTGCGATCTGGCATCCGATCCTGCGTCGTTGCTCTCCGGGCTGGTCGAGGCCAGGTTGAGCTCCCTGACGTCTTGAACCGGACAGGCTACGGACCCGCTGCTCCCCGGGACTCCCGAGGCTTTCGGATCCCGGACCCTGGAACCCAAGACAGAGCCAGAGCGAGAGAGAAAGGAGAGAAAAGCTGAAAGCACAGGCTGCTCCCGGCCCTCACTGCCCGCCCCCCTTCGGTCCTGAACCAGGTGCGGCATGCAGCCCGCGGGCAGGCTCGCCTTCAGGTCCTCGGGGATGCTGAAGTACTCGGGAGCGCAGTGGATGAGAGAGACCGAGCGATGCCCGGACGGCATCCTGAAAAGCTGCCTCACGACTCTGTCCCCGCAATCTGTCACGGTCATCTCGTCGGCCTTCAGATCAATGTTGGCCTCGATCATCTCAAGAAACTTGGCGGGCAGGATCGGCGGGACCTGGCCCTCTAGGATCAGAAACTCGATGAATCCGCATCCCGCCAGAGAACATGGCACCCAGGCCCTGCCCACCGTCTTGGCCAATCCACCGATGCCTGAGGCCTTGCGGCCCTCGAGCGGAGTCCAGTCGACGAACACGAAGTAGCCACGCTTGCGAAAGGCCTCGACCAGGTTCTTCACGTCCGGGGTTCCGATGAGGGCCTGGCCTGCTGCCGTGTCCACCAACGCGTGATCCCTCATACTCTTGAGCGAAACCTCCGGCGTCTCCAACTGGCCGATCGGGCCAACCCACTGTTCGACGCTGAAGGTCGCCCACGTGGATGACTCAGCAGCTTCACCGGCAGAGAGGACGATGATCGAGTCGAGGTCGGCCTCGAGCTCGTAGTCGTCAGAGTTGCACGGATACTGGCCCAGCTGCGTCATCCCCGCGTCTACGAAGAAGATGGTCTGCTTCAGGTCGTGGACGGCCACGAGCCCGTCGCAGTAGCTCTCGTCGAGGTCGGCCTCCGACTCGAGCTCCATCGTCACAGCGTCAGTCAAGAACGAGGGGTCCCCGTCGGCGTTGGAGTAACAGAAGAACCCAGGAGAGGACCCTTTCGTCGCGGCCGAGGATGAGGCTCCCTTCTTCTCGTTATTGATCCGGTCCAGCTTCGATCTGCAGGGCTTCCTGCAGTCTTCTGCCCAGTGTCCGCGCTCACCACAGTTGGCACATCTCGTCTTCTTCTTCAGGTCGGCTGAGGTGATGCGACGGTATCCGGGCTTGGACGCGCGCCTGCGGTCGAAGAATTCACGATCAACCTTGCGAGTGGCCTTCATTTTGCGAGCCTCGGTCCAAGTCCTGCGTTTTTCCTTCCCGATCTTTTCCTCGACGATGGCGGCCAGCACGGGCATCAGGTCATCCTCCGCCAGATCCTGCTCCTCGAGTGCCGTGAGGAACGTCTGAGCGTCGTCCTCGAGGAGCTCGAAAGAGTCGTCCACTGTCTCGTAGAACGACACCGCCTCCGGATCGTCGCACCACGGGGCTGGGGGTGGCTGAACGTCGGGCTCCTCCAGAGTCTGCTCCACGTATGTCTTCGTCGCCGTAGAGGTCGATCCAGGGAGCACACTGCGCTCGCGCACGTCTAGCAACAAGAGGGCCTGTCTGATAGCCTGGAACGACTTGTCGCCTCCCGCCAGCGTCCTCAAATTGATTTTATTTTGTTGACTGAGATTGGCACCCTCCTCCAGATATCTTGCGAGAACCCCGTCGGGAAGCTTCAGTCCGAAGGTCTCCGCCGTCGAGATCTGGGCGTCCCGTCTGAGGACATAGTCTGTCAAGCTCTCGCCACGACGGATGCTGTAGTCGAAGAGTGCCTCGTTCTGAGCCTCCCTTTCTTTATCACCTGGGCGCTCTCCGTTGAGTATTGCTAAGTGGTCCAACAGCTTCTCCACGCCGTCGCGGACGTCTAGTGTCGATTTCACCAGCTTGAACTTGCTCTGGATCTCGACGGGGAGAGTCTCCAGAACCTTGGCTGCCTGAACCTCGGCAGCGTACCCAGTCCTCCTCGCCCATGCGCGTAGATTACCCTTGTAGAGATCCAGATGCTCATAGTTGAGCCAGGTCGGCGGCGCACCGAAGTCACGGTTTGGGCGATCCCATGAGCGACTCCACCAGCCATCCCACTGACTCGAGTCGCTCCGCCCTTCCTGCTCCGTCGCCGCCGCTGCACCTGTGGGGGCCACGCCAGCCGCGGCCGTGTCCGCCGCCTCTGGCTGAGCTGGTACCCACTGCCACGAACCTGCCGTCGAGCTCCACCCTGTCCACGCGGTGCTCCATGTCTGGCGCCACCAGGGGTCCTGGGCACCAGCTGAAGTCGCGGCCCCGGCTGCGGGGCACGTGGTCGTCTCTGGAGCTGATGCGGCCCAGGGATCCGTCGGCATCGTCTGCGTCTGGCCATGCTGTCGGCCGGCCGGTACCCGCATCGTCCTCCCCCTCTTGCCCCTCACCAGAGGCTCCGCTTACCATTGTCCCAAGCTAGAAGCACGGTGGGAAGTGTGGAAAGGGGGCGAAGGGGGGAGAGTACGTTTTGTCAAGCACCAGGCACGCAGCCTAAGCCCAAAGGGCTACGGAAGGAGTCCGAGCCCTACCCACGGCTAAACCCGAAGAGCGGGGGAGGAGAGGTCGAGAGGAAAAGGGACCGGGGGCCCTCGAGGGCCAGAGGGCCACCGGGACCCCACGGACCTCCGGGACCCGGACCCCCGGGCCCGAGGGGGACACTATAGCCTTATAGCCCTCTCGCCCTCTCGCCCTAGAGCCCTAGAGCCCTATAGCCCTATAGCCCTATAGCCCTATAGCCCTTTAGCCCTATGCTCCAATAGCCCTATATAGCCCCATAGCCCTATAGCCCTCTCGCCCTATAGCGCAATAGCCCAATTGTCCTGTAGCCCTATACCCCTATATCCCTAAAGCCCTATAGTCCTGTAGCCTTACAGCCTTCTATCCCTATAGCCCTATAGCCCTGTAGCTCTATAGCTCTATATATGTATGTGTATATATGGTTATAGCCCAATCGCCCTTTAGCCCATAACACTATACCCCTATAGCCCTATATCCCTATGGCCCTATAGTGCTATAGTTCGATAGCCTTATAGCCCCATAGCCCCATCGCCCTATAGCCCAATAGCCCTATAGCCCTAAAAAGACTTCGCTTGGGGTTTTCTCCGGTATCATATTCTTCTTCTGAATATTAATATTGGCATCATGCAGATGCACAATGCCGTACGCGCAGACGCTTGCATTACTCTGCATGTTATCTTCCCACAGCCCCTCTACTCAGCACGCACGCGTGCGAAAGTCTCAAGCCCCCATTCGAGGGCGAGTGCTTCAGCCATAAATGTGGAAGATCCATCTCCCGACGCGCCACTGCCCGTGTGCCGTCAGGATAATACGCAGATTTGCCATACCAGCGACAGAATCCGCCCCCCCTTCGACCCCCCCTCCTCCTCCTCCACCTCCTGCTACTCGCCGCCATCGCCGCGCCTCATCCGTCTTCCTCCTCGAGGGATTCTGGAAGATCTGGCCCCCGGAGGAGGAGGAGGAGGAGGAGGAGGAGGAGTCCCCTCCTCCCGCTCTTCCCTCCTCCTCCTCCTCCTCCTCCTCCTCCTCCTCTTCCTCCTCCTCCTCCTCCTCCTCCTCCTCCTCCTGAAGCCCCCCTCGGTCCCCGGTCTCTCGCTCGCTCCAGCCCTGGCTCGCGCGCGGTCACGCCCCCCGCGGCGGTC